TGACATGACTGGGTGACTAGCATGTTTTATACATTTGAGTCATTTCTGCTTTTTTAATTTCCCAAGTGTTGCTGGTTTCGGCAGCCTCATGCTCCTGTTTTCTGGGATTTGCTGCTGTAACTTTGGGGTCGGTTCCTACAAGTCGGGGTGCTGGGTTATACGTGTCGCTGGGTAACAAGGCATATGCCGTTTTGCTTGGCATCGCCCAATTCTCTCCGGAGGGACAGGACCATTTTACTTTCTGTCAGCAGTGTGTAGTGTAACTAATGCCCCACAGCCACCTAACGGAGTGTGTTGTCGAACTTTGGGATCTTCTAATTTGATAAGAGATGATAGGAAAGGAAAGGAAAGGAAAGGGAAGTTGCTCAGTCATGCCCAACTCTTTGAGACCTCATGGACAGTAGCCTGCACTAAGCTCCTCCGTCCATGGGATTTTCTAGGCAAGAATACTGGAATGGGTTGCTCTTTCCTTCTCCAGGGAATCTTCCCGACCCAGGGACCGAACCCAGGTCTCCCGCATTGTAGACAGACACTTTACCGTCTGAGCCACCAGGGGAACTCCAATAAGAGATGATATCTCCATGTAATTTTAAAATTTCATTTCTTATGAGGATTAAAGGACCAATTACATTCCCTCTGATATTAACTCTCTGTTCATTCCTCTTGCCACTATTGGTCTTTTTCATCAATTTTTAGAAGCTGTATATTAGGGACTATTAGGGATCAGTTCAGTTCAGTCACTCAGTCGTGTCCGACTCTTTGCGACCCCATGAATCGCAGCACGCCAGGCCTCCCTGTCCATCACCAACTCCCAGAGTTTATTCAAACTCATGCCCATCGAGTCGGTGATGCCATCCAGCCATCTCATCCTCTGTCGTCCCCTTCTCCTCCTGCTCTCAATCCCTCCCAGCATCAGGGTCTTTTCCAATGAGTCAACTCTTCGCATGAGGTGGCCAAAGTATTGGAGTTTCAGCTTCAGCATCAGTCCTTCCAAGGAACACCCAGGACTGATCTCCTTTAGGATGGACTGGTTGGATCTCCTTGCAGTCCAAGGGACTCTCAAGAGTCTTCTCCAACGCCACAGTTCAAAAGCATCAATTTTTCGGCGCTCAGCTTTCTTCACAGTCCAACTCTCACATCCATACATGACCACTGGAAAAACCATGGTCTTGACTAGACGGACCTTTATGATAGTGACCTATAAATTGGGGCTTCCCAGGTGGCTCAGTGGTTAAGAATCTGCCTGCAATGCAGGAGACACAGGTTCTATTCCTGGGTCAGGAAGATCTCCTGGAGGAGGAAATGGCAACCCACTCTGGTACTCCTGATGAGAGAATTCCATGGACAGAGGAGCCTGGTGGGCTATAGTCCATGAGGTCACAAGGAGTTGGACACGACTTAGCAACTTAGCAACAAGATTTACAGGATGAGACCTGTCAATCTCAAGTGTCTTTCCCATCTGTCTTTTTTACTCCTCTTAATTATTTGCTTGTTTCTTATGCCATGCAGTAGTGTTTAGTATTGTTATTACTATTATTTTCATGTACTCAGATTTGCCATCTTTTCTCTTGGTGCTCTGGCCTTGGAGCGCTAGCCAGGAAGGTTTCCCTAGTCTCAGGTTGTAGAAAAATTTAACCATACTCTCTTCTAATATTTGTGTAATTTCTTTTTGTATTTAATAGAAATTTCTGATTTAAAAAAAATTACCCACAGAGCACTTTTGGTGTATACTGTCCTCTGTGACCAGCTACTTTCCCTTGTGTGATTTTAAGCCACGGAAAGGGGCCCTGTGCTCAACTCCCCAGCGTGCCTTTGTGTAGAGACTCATCTCGTCTTTGAACCCGAAGAGACCAATATGTTTATTTTCAAGGGGAAGGAACTGAGATTTGGGGAGGAGGGACTTGTCCAAGGACCCGCGGCCCCATCCCAGGGACGAGCTCTGGCTGGCCTGGGAAGAGGATTATGGTCAGCTGCTGTGTGTCGGCAGCTTGGCCAGGCCTGTCACCGTCCTTCACTCCCGAGCCATCGGGCCTGCTGGTTAGCCCCACCTTGCAGGTGTGGAGACTGAGGCACGGAGAGGTGAGTTGCCTGCCCTGGACCAGGCAGCCAGATGGGCCATCACGCTTAGACACCCGGGCGTCTGCCTGAGAGCTTGGCCCTCCCACCTCCAGATGTCTGGCCATGCCGTGCAGGCACTGAGTGTCACCCCACCCCCCTGCCACGGCCTCAGAGATCCTTGGAGGTTGAGGTGTCCTTGTCTCCATGGCAAGGGCCTGTGATGGACTTTGTGATGCCCAAGGGCCGGCATGCTCCTGGCAGCCGGAGGCCACAGGTCGCTGCTTTTCAAGTTGTCCATTTGCATAGCTGCTCACTCACTTATCCTTCATTCAACACACCTTACTGCCGCCTGCAGTGGGCAGACCCAGCCTGGCCAAGGGTGACCAGACAGACAGGCAGGAGCACAGCGTCCTGCGCGGTGGGCAGGTGGCCTCGGCCGTCCTGTGGGGCCCAGAACAGCGGCTCCCTCGCTGTCCCTGCGGGCCTGGGTGGGAGGAGGGGGGCTGGCTTCCCCAGCCCTTCCTCTCCCCGGGATCCAGCGCTGAGTAGAAGCTTGTTGTCCAGGCCAGTCCCCAGGTGGTGATGATTTGAAACCAGATGCGGTGAGGGCAGGACTGCCCTGGGCACACAGTGAGTCAGCAGGCCAGACTGGAGCCTCGCCTGCCCCTGCCCAAACCCCACGCACCTTGGATGTGCCAGGGGCCCCGGGAAGGGAAAGCTGAGCCTTCAGATGAATCCAGAGCAGCCCAGTTACCCAGGATTGTCTGGTGGGTCAAGCAGACTTTTTAAAGGGTTATCAGGCGGTTTTCATTGCACTGAATGTGTCTTGATCACGTCTTTTCTCCCAGAGCCGTAGCCTCTTGGCCAAGTGTCTCCAACTGTCTGCTGATGGAGGCCCGGGTTGCCAGAAGAGTCTGAGCGAGGCTCCCCTCTGGATCCAGCTAGTTAGGCCCATGTAGTGCCATCCCTCGTCCCTGGGACTGGACGAACCAGCTGTCGGTGTAATTAAGTTCGCCATAAAACCCACCAACTAGACGCACAAATGACTTCCCTGCTCTTTCCCGGGGCAGGAGCAGTTGGGAAGGCAAGTCAATCATGTTCCGCAGCGATCACTCCAAAGGTCAGCCTTCCACTTACAGCAGTGTTACTGGCAGGGATCACCCATAACACGGCTGGTTTCCGGCCATTTGATTTTACGATGCCCTAATGAATTGGGCCATTTCCATGCGTTCTCAGGAAGTGTACAGAGCAAGGGTTTTTATTCTCCTGGGAAAGTTTGTCTTGGGGAGACAAGGTGGCGTGTTGGTGGGCACGAAGGTAGTTCTGCCAGGGTTGGGTCGAGTACCCCGGCACTTCCCTCCTCCCGGCTTCCGCGCCGCCCTCTGGGAGATGAATTATCTGATGCTGGAGCTCCAGGGGCGGTCCTCTTCTCCCGTCCTTTCCTGGGTCAGTGCGTTTCCTGAGTGTGTGTGGGGACTGAGGTGCCGCTGCTGGAGGCAGCCACACAGTCTGGCCTGGGTTCCGAGGCCTGTATGGTACCCTCTCTTTTCTGCCCCTGGACCACCTCTCAGGCTCCAGGGGGCCCACCCAGAAACCACGCTCACTGGGAGCTGCTTCTGAAGAGGCTCAGGGAAGGCACTTGTTGGTTGCCCACCCTCCTCCCAGGAATTTGTCTCAGCATTTACCGAGACAGGACTTGGCCAGCAGGAGACCTGGCTGGGAGCCCCCCTGGGAAGCACCACGCCCTGGCCCTGCACCCTTGAGCAAATGGCTGCATCTTTCTGTGCCTCAGTGTTCCTCATCTGGAGAATGGGTCTCAAAATACCCCTCTGTCTAAACTGGATTTATGGAGTGCTGCATTTAATGTGAATTTGACTTATATATGTTTGAAAGAGGATGCTACGATGTCTAGGTCTGCAGTATTTGCAAGATTTTAAATTTCAGTTTTTGAAATATGTGTCAAGACAGCTCGTTTCCCGACTGGCGGCTGAGGTGCCGGAGAGCTTGTGTTTGTACTGTGGCCACATGGTGGCGCCCTGGGAGCTGGTAAACAGGCCGCGAGGCCTGGCAGGCGGGCCCAAGGCGCCGTGCCCACAGCCTGTTGCTCACTATTGCAATTTAAAGTCATCCTGGAGTTTGTTACACGAAGGTACTTGTTGACCCTGGTGCTGGGAACCCCACCCTGCTCCTAACCAGCCTACTTGTTGTAGAATGGAATGTTCACGTGATAAAACGCTCTGAAGAAAGCCGAACAATGGCTTGATGCTAAATTGCGTTAGTTTAGAGATGGAAGAGTATGGAATGTTGGCAATGATGTAAGAAAGAAAGCGTGTCTTTAAAGCTAGCTAACGTACTGTGATCCTGGCTCCATGAGCTGGAGACGGCTGGCTCCCACGTCGCAGGTACCACTCTAGGGACTACAGGCCGAGGCTTTGAAAGCTGTGAATTATGGGACTCTTCAGAAGCAAGAGCCTTGCACAAAATATGGCCCGGGTATTGGTGGGCATCACATGATGGTTCCCTTATGTGCCCTTGGCCAGGTGTGGGCCCCTCCCTAAGCTCTGCTGCATCGGCCCCCGCTGCTCCCTAGGGGACCCGTCAGGAGGCTGGGGGCATCTACTTGCCTCCCTGGGCCCATGTGCCAGCGGGTGTAGGGAGGGCATGGGCGTGGAGGACATCCACGGGGAGAGGAAAGGCCGTGGCGGGTGTCAGGGAGCAGGGCCCGGCAGACGTGTGCCTCCTGGGGGGCAGGAGGCCCCAGAGGTCTCCCTCCAGCAGCGCCCACCCCCACGCTTGGGCTGCTCGTCCTGGCGGGGGTGGGTGGGGCGCACATTTTCCCACACTGCCCTCCCAGACCCTGCAGTCCACACGTAGTCAGTGCCCTCCTTGGCCCTGCCCGTGGGCTCTGGGGGCCCCACCAAGACGGTTGCCCGCTCTTGCAGGTGGTAAGAAGCTACAAGGCCACCATCCAGCAGACCTTGGACATCCTCTTCCTCCGGGAAGGCTCCGAGTTTCTGAGCAGCACAGATGCTTCAAGCCGGGACTCTGCCGACCGCACCATCATTGCCTGGGATTTCCAGAGCTCCGCCAAGATCTCCAACCAGATCTTCCACGTGAGAAACCCCACTGGGCATTGGTTTCAGGTTGCGCCCCAGGGTGCATCCGTGTAGCCCCCAGGCTGTCTGGGGTCCCAGGTTGAGTCCTGCGGAGGTGGTTCAGCCAGAAGGAGCTTAGGAGGCAGAGGCCTGCCTGAAGTCTGTAGGGTTGGGAGAGGCAACACGCAGGTCCGGGCCTGCCCGGAGTACCTTCCATGGGCTCCCGGATCGGGGTGACTCCCTCGCAGTCCTCTCACTCGCTCTCTGCCCAGCACAGCCATGCCATGGGGTAAGGGTGTGGGAGGCAGCCTCATTCACATCCACAGGAAAGTGGCTCTCCACCCCAAGACAACCCTACTCTAACCCGCCACCACCCCAGGCAGCCTGCGGGTCCACCTTGCCCCTTGCTCAGTAGCTTTGGCAGGGGCTGTGACTCAAGGGTTGGAGCCCACACCCTGAAGGTAGACCACCTGCGTGTGTTAAATTCCTGCATCCACCACCTGCAGGCAGGGACCCAGGCCCCGTAGTTACCCTCTTTGATTCTCGTTTTTTTTCTGTTAGAAAGCTGAGGATGAGAATATTTCTTGCCTCATAGTGTGGTTTTGAGAATTAAAAGATGTAGATACTTAGTCTAGCACAGTGCCAGCTGGAGGGAGTTCTCAATAAATGCATTACCTATTATCACCATCACTGCCACCATCACTATCATCACCACCTCACCACCATCCACCATCACCACCATCAACACCACCATTCACCATCACTGCACCATCACCACCACCATCACCATTTCCACTCTTATCACATCCCCACCATCATCACCATCACTGTCATCACCATCATCATTATCATCACCACCACCATCAGAACCATCATCCCAACCATCTCCACCATCATCACCACCATCCACCATCACCACCATCAATACCACCATCATCACTATCATCACCATCATCACCATCAGTCATCACCACCGTCATCACCATCTCCACTATTACTACCATCACCAACATCACCACCATCATCATCATCATCACCACCATCATCCCAACCATCACCACCATCATCACCACCATCCACCATCACCACCATCATCACCATTCCCACCATCATCACCATCCCCATCCCCATCACTACCATCACTACCATCAGTACCATCTCCACCATCGTCATCATCACCATCACCTCTGTACCATCTCCATCACCATCACCACCATCATCACCACTATCACTCCCATCACCAACATCACTACCATCATCATTGTTGTCATCATTACCACCCTCCTTATCACCATCACTGCTTTTACCATCATCACTGTCATCACGATCACCACCATCATCACCATTATTGTGATTACCACCACCATCATCTTTTAAGATTTCAAGTTAGCTATGGCTAATCTCTTTGATGCTGCCACCCAGAATTTAAAAATATATATCAGGTGTACGTTGGAGTAGGAAATGGCAACCCACTCCAGTATTCTTGCCTGGAAGGATTCCATGGACAGAGGAGCCTGGCGGACTACAGTCCCTGGGCTCACAGAGAATCGGACATGACTGGGCACTCAGCAGCAGCAGCAGCAGGTGTCCACATGCACCATTTCCCTCTCCCTGGTTTTTTTTTTCCCCTTGTTCTTAGAGGATTCTAAGTAGCCCTGAACAAACCTGCCTCTAGACCTTCACTTTAGAGGTCTAGTTCAACCCCCTGAGAAAGGCAAGCCCTGGGAGGGGGCTGGAGGGGTGTGTCTAGCCCCTGGGGCATCCTGCCTCCACTGGCCCTGCAGAGATCAGGGAAGCGAGTGAGGTGGATGAAAGTGCTGTGTGCCCGAGCCACCAGCCCTCCTAGAGTCACACCTCCTCGCCCTGCGTGCCGGTGAGCAGGCGCTTCGCCTGGAGCCTCATGCCAGGAGCTCATTATCAGGTCGCCGTGCGTCTCCAGCAGCATATTAGTCTGCGGTTCCAACTACTCCCAGTGTCGCCCTGTGAATTTGGGCTCATTTAGAGGCTGTGGCTTCAGGACATCACTTAGAACATGGAAGGACAGGTGCAGTGCAGAAGAGAGCTTTTAGGGGTGTTTCTGTGTGACTCAGTCCATTAAGCAGCGAGATCTCTCCTGCTTGGAACCCTGTGTGCACGCGTTTATCTCCGCACTTGGCCAGTCACCTCCTTACTCATTGTGTGTTCTGGTGGCTCTGGACCCTAGGCTGGGCGGAGGTTCCCCGATGGCTCACTGTGCAGGTGGGGAGATGGGCATGTGGATTTGTTTTCTGTTGCTGTGTAACAAATTACAAAGTAACATAAATCCAGTGACTTAAACCAATAGGAGTGTGTCCTTTTAGTGACGGAGGCCAGAAGTTTGTAAAAAGTATCCTGGGGCTGAAATCAAGGTGCTGGCGGGGCCTCTGTCATCTGTCCTTTGCTCCTTCCAGCTTCTGGTGGCAGCTGGTGACTCTTGGCTTGTGCTGCGTCCCTGCAGCCCGCACGCCAGCATCCTCAGATCTCTCTCTCTGCTCTGTCTTCACGTCCCCTCTGCTGTGTGTCTGGTCTCACTCTGCCTCCCTTTTCTATGGATGCTTCTGACTGCATTTAGGGCAGTAATGTAGGGTAACCTCCTCATCTCAAGATCCTTAAGTTAATCCCTGCAAAGATCCCCCTGCTTTTTTAAAAAATCCAGATGGTGACACAGGTCCCAGGAATTCGGACATAGAAGTCTTTGGGGGGATATGTTTCAGTCCACACCAAGGCGCAGGAGGCAAGGAGTGTACGGACCCCTAGAAGCTGGAAAAGACAGGGAACAGATTCCTCCCAGAGACCCCAGAAGGAGCAGAGCCTGCTGGCATCTTGATTTTAGCCCAGGGAAACCATGTCAGATTTTTGACATCTAGAAGCATAAGATAATAAATGTGCTTTTAGCCACAAAATTAGAGGCATTTTGTTACAGCAGCCACAGGAAGCTTGCAGACCCCTGAGCCGAGGTCTGGGTGGGGGGCTCGAGGCTCCAGGAGCAGAGGGTGTGTGGCAGGCCCGTCAGAGGCAGGAGCCCGCTAGGGAGCCTGCTCCACCGTGTCTGTGCCCTGCTGTCTCTCAGGAGAGGTACACCTGCCCCAGCCTCACCTTACATCCGCGGGAGCCTGTGTTCCTGGCGCAGACCAACGGGAACTACCTGGCCCTGTTCTCCGCCGTGTGGCCCTACCGGATGAGCAGAAGGCGGCGCTACGAAGGGCACAAGGTACCCCGTCTCGTCCCGTCCCCCCGGGGGTGGGGAGTTGTCCCATGACCACACCGGCAAGGGCCTTGCAGTCCCCAAGAGCACGGACCCTCCGTCCGGGCAACCTGTGCTTTCTGTTTCCTGGGTGACCCCATACCATGTGACCTGATGCCCCATCAAGGCCCCGAGCCACATCTGGCCCTTCCCTGGGCCCCAGCTACCGGACAGGGCCGGTCTCCTTGACTTGTCGGCTCATGTGGCCCTGGGGCTGGGGGCACCTTTCCATCGGCCTCTCTTCCCTGCAGGCCGCCCCGAGGCACAGGCACCAGGGACCCTCTGCCTGTCCCCGTGCCACAGCTGTGCTCTCTGGACCCACGAGAGCCACCTGGGGACATGGCCCCGGCTCACGGCAGGTGCTCGGCCTCCGGCCCCGGGCCCAGCCGCTCCTCTGTGGGAAGGGCCGTGGAGCCGCGTGCGCTGAGCCGCGCGGTCACTCAGCTGGTTGCTCACCCTCCGCAGGTGGAAGGCTACTCGGTGGGCTGCGAGTGCTCCCCAGACGGCGACCTGCTGCTGACGGGCAGCGCCGACGGCCGGATCCTGGTGTATAGCTTCCGCACCGCCAGCCGCGCCCGCACGCTGCACGGGCACACGCAGGCCTGCGTGGGCGCCACCTTCCACCCCGTGCTGCCCTCCGCGCTTGCCACCTGCTCCTGGGAGGGCGACATCAAGATCTGGCACTGAGCCTCGTGGTGTGGAAGCTTCCCGATGCCGGGCGGGCGGGCGGGCGTGTGTGATGAGGATGGGCTGAGGTTGGCTTCAGGGCCAGGCTCGGCTGGATGCCCCTTCCCCATCCTCCGAGCCTCAGTGTCCTCATCTGTAAAGTGGGAATGAAAACCTTGTGTCTCAGGGTTCCAAGGACTATGTGTTAGCAAAAGCACCTGGCAGGTTGCTGGCGATGCTCAATAAACATGAGTGTTTTGCCATTTCTTAGGTTATTTCAGCGACAAACACGGATCGGCAGCTTCTCTCGCCTCCCTACTCGTGGGCCCAATGGAGCTCGGAGACAAAGGGCAAGTGGGGGTTGGAGAGGTGGGGCTCTAGGTCTGCCTGCCCCCCGGTCTCACAGGGTCTGCTCAGGCCCGGGCGCCCCCCCCGCCCCAGCCTCCTCCAGGCCAGGTCCCCGGGTTTGCCTGAGCCTAGGCCCTCTGCACTCCTCACCCTCTGCCCAAGGAAATGCATCTGCCTGGGCGACAGATTGACGTGAAGAAGCAAGGAGCCTGCGAGGATCCCCACAGGCCAAGGAGCCCTAAGCGCCCCCAGGACCGCTATTGACATGTTCCCCCAGGAGCCAAAAGGTCCCCTGATGGGTGAGGGTGGGGGCCAGAGGTGCCTATCTTTGGACAGGCGCATCCCTGCAGTCCTGGCAGTCTCCCTGGAGGAGGCTGACCACGAGCCTGTGAGGAGGGTGTCCTGGCAGGGGGTCAGCGAGGAAACGCAGGACCTGAAGAGGAGGCCACAGAGGCAGGTGCTGCCCAGAACCTGGGCTCCCAGTCCGGCTCTGCTATTGGTGGAGCTGAGAGTGAGTCACATTTCCTCTTGGAGCCACAGTTGCCCCCTCTGTAAAGCGGTGTCAGAACCCAACCTGCAAGCTTGCTGTGAGGGTCCAGGAAGGTCAAGTGTGTGGCAGGTGTCGGCACCTTGGGAGCTCATCTGGGGATGGGGATTGGACAGATTGGAGCAGTCATGAAATTAAAAGACGCTTGCTCCTTGGAAGAAAAGCTATGACCAACCTAGATAGCATATTAAAAAGCAGAGACATTACTTTACCAGCAAAGGCCCATATAGTCAAAGCTATGGCTTTTCCAGTCGATAGTCATGTGAGAAAGTGAAAGTGAAGTCGCTCAGTCATGTCCGACTCTTTGTCACCACATGGACTGTAGCCTACCAGGCTTCTCCCTCCATGGGATTTTCCAGGCAAGAGTACTGGAGTGTGTTGTCATTTCTTTCTCCAATGTCATGTGAGAATTGGGCCATAAAGAAGGCTGAGTGCCAAAGAATTGATGCTTTCGAACTCTTGTGCTGGAGAAGACTCTTGAGAGTCCCTTGGATTGCAAGGAGATCAAACCAGTCCATCCTAAAGGAAATCAACCCTAAATATTCATTGAAGGACTGATGCTGAAGCTTCAATCCTTTGGCTACCTGGTGTGAAGAGCTGACTCATTGGAAAAGACCCTGATGCTAGGAAAGACTGAAGGCAGGAGGAGAAGGGGACAACAGAGGATGAGATAGTTGGATGGTATCACCAACTCAATGGACATGAGTTTGAGCAAACTCTGGGGGATAGTGAAGGACAGGGAAGCCTGGCGTGCTGTCGTCCATGGGGCTGCAAAGAGTCGGACACGACTGAGTGAACAGCTGGAGCTGGTGGAGAAGCATTTATTTCAGTGGGTCTACTTTGCCTCTGGACCCTTGGAATCTTGGGGTCCACAAGCAGGGCATCCCAAGCAAAGGGAAGGGCCGTGCAAAGGCCCTAAAGCGGGATTAATCCTGAGGGCTGACTCCTTTTCTGTCCCTCGTCCTCCGCCCCCCCACAGTCAGCACGGAGCCTGGCGTGCCATTGGTGTCATCTGGATGCTGGGTCCTCGAGCTGGGCTGGAGGGGCCAGAGTGTGTGGGTGTGGGGGTTGAGACCCTTGGAGTGTGAAGGGAGGGAACTCCCCAGGCCTGGGCAGGACGCAGCAGGGCCCCAGTGGCTCCATATGCCACTGGTCTGGGTGTGGTAGGAGCTCAGGGTAGAATCACCTTCTCTTTTTAGGCTCAAGAAGGGCCGCTTTGGTGAAATAAGAAAGATAACCACACCCCAGCCCTTGCAGGTTAACCCCTGGTAGAAGTGGAGGCCCCATGAGGGGCTGTCCTGGCCTCAGCAGAAGGGAGGCTGAGCGCACGTCCACGTAGAGCCTGTGCAGACAGTGGGCATTCCTGCCTCCCCACTCGGGCTCTGGAGTGGCTGCCTCTGCTCTGGGTGGGCAGCTCTGTGACCTGCAAAGCCCTCCCAGTGTCCCTGCTGCACCCTCTGCGGACCCTCTTCCCCCAGCACCCCCAGCAGCCCACCCCCCCATTCCAAGGCTCCGTGTGTGAGCTGGGCCCTGAGCCCTGGCCCCTCCCAGCACACATGCACACTGCCATGTAAGCTGCCTGGGGTTGCAGGGCCCTGCTCCCGGGGAGCGTTCTGGGAATAACTGCAGGGTCACCTGCCCACAGGACACGGGCTTCGGAATCGGGCAGCTGTGGGCTCAAACCCCGTCCCCACCTTCTGTCATCGCGCCATCACCACCAGTGGCAAGCCGCCCTGTGCCCCAGTGTCCCTTCTGTAAAGGACTCTCAGAACCCAGCTCGTGGGGGTTCACACAGGACGTGTGTGCAGCAGGCCCCCCGGGAGCCGGCAGTGGGGGTCAGTGTCAGTGATAACGTCAGCATCGGTGGCAGCCGAGCCACTGGGGCAGGGGTTGAGCCTGTTCAGGCCGGAGGTCGGAATCGGGTTCCATCCTCAGCCCCCAGGAAGGGACAGCTCCTTCCCCAAACGCTCAGTTGACAAATCTCAGGGAAGGCCTAGATTGGCTGGTTTGTGTCACATTCCCGCCCCAAACCAGGGGTCCTCGACCAGGCGTAGCTGCCACCGTGCAGCTGGACGGGAGAGTGATGGGGCCCCCATAGTTCTTTCACGAGGGAGTATCCCCCGGGTCCTGTCTGAACGGGCCCCCGGCCGGAGTTTGTCGAATGGACTGACGACATGTGAATGAAGTCAGACAGGCTGCTGGGGCAGGCAGCAGTTGTCTGGCGTTGTGGGCGGGGCACGGGGGGGCGGGCACTGGCCTCTCGCCCACCTCTCCTGCCCCCGTTCCTTGCATCCAGCCCCAGATCCTGGAGTCCAGGCTTCCTGCTTTCTAGCCCAGCCCGAAGCGGGCGTTTTCCTACCTTCCTTGATGTGGAGCGTCTTTCGAGTGGGAGCTTCATCGTGTGGTTTGCTGACTGCTTTCCCCACTGTGGCGTGCTAGTATGACCACTCAGGTATTTAATGGGCATCAGTTACAGGCTGTACGCGGTGGGCTTTGGCATGGGTGCTGGCGTTTACCGGGGGCCGACCCCATGTCCACCGAGCTGCCCGGCCCCTTCCTGGTTCTGAGCCCACACCCCGGCTGCCTGCGACCTGTGGGTCCCAGACCCATCCCTTGCTTGCATGGGGCCTTTGTGGGCACTTTGTTTCTCTGAACCTCAGTTTCCTCATCTCTCACGTGGGCCTGCTGGAGTGAACAAGGGAGGAAGTGCAGAGGAAAGGGCTTTGTAGGTTGTTACCGTCTCAGGCTATCTTGGGTCAAACACCATCCAAACCTCTGTCCTCAAAGAGGACACCCTGGTGAAAGCTCTGACCCTCCTGGGAGAGGGACATCCAGGGTCACCGGAAACCGCTGTGGCTCTTTCTTAGCCCCCTCCCCTGCAGACTTGCTTTCTCCGCTCTGTGCCCTCTAAGCCCCGCCACCTCGTTAGGTTATTTCACGGGGAGGAAAGGCAGGTGCTCTCACACCCTCATCTGTTTCTCTCTTCAAATGCTTTCTTCCAAAGAGCATTCAAGACTCATTCTGGTCCTCTGCAAGGTGTCTGGGAGTTCACCATTTGCAATTTTGAAACGAGAGCTAAAATTAGAAAGTACGGAGCAGGAATGTACAAGAAGTGTGGGTTGTTCCCCCCCACCCACCTTCCTGGGGCTGGGCGCTTACCTTCGCCTCGCCCATACATCTGAACACAGCTCTGAAGCCATCGTGGGAGGAGAGCAGTTCCATCTTGAGAGGCAGGCATGGCTGTGTGTGCTGACGGGTGTGGCGGTGACTCTGAGTAAGGCTGGCACCTGCGGCGCCTGCAGCCCCCATGAGGCGGCCGTGAGCCCTGATGCTTGGAGGGCAGAGGGACAGGCCTGGAAAGTCTGTGCTTCTCCCCTCCCTTGGGACCAGCCTCCAGCCCAGCCTGGGGCTCTCCACACACTGGGACAGCCACTGTCTTGAGGGCCCCTGGGAATCTCACGAGCCAGTGTCCTCAGGCTCCAGAGGGGACACAGGCCCCGAGGGCCTGGGGCTTGCCCAAGGTCACACAGCCCTGCACTGCCTGCCGTGGGTTGAGAAGAAACATGGATGGAAGGGTCGGCGGATGGTGGGTGCGCCGTTGGGGTCCTGTTGGGAGTGAGGTAGGATTGACGTGGAGCCAGAGGGGTGTCTGGTGGAAGAAGGAAGGCCGCCCGCCCGCCCAGCTGTGGCTGGCTTTGGAGGCCACAGCAGGACAGCTCTGTGAAGCCTGTTGGCCATTTGGGGGACGGGTGCTCAGGCTCTGAGGTGACAACGTGGGGGCCCAGGCTGCGAAGCCCTCGGGGGTCCCAGCCCTGCTGTCTAGTCGCACAGCCCGCATGGGACTGACGAGGCCCAGGGCTCCTCTGGGAACGTCTCTGAGCTAGAGCCTGCTGGGCGCTGGAGGTCATCTGTTTTCCCCACCACCCTGCCGTTGCCCCGCACCAGGTCGGTGAGGGTTACTTTCCCACCTGCCCACAGGGAAACTGGGCCCCAGATGGGGGAGCTGATTCCCGAGCCTCCCAACAGGCCCCTCCCCCGCAGCTGGCTGCTTCCTGGGGTGTGCCTGAGGGCAGGCACCCAGGAGTTATGCAAAGCTGGGTGGGCCGGGCAACTTCAGCCTGCACCT